GTGTGGAATTCCCAAGGGTTTAATTAAGGCAATATCATTGGGTTTTATTAATATTGTATTAAGTACACAAAAGTTGATCAATTCCGTTAAAGTTTAAAATTATACATATCCATCTGTTATGCAGTAGTCTATGTACATTTTACACTGTTTTTTTACAATATAAAGTATTTTAATTTAAAGTTTTAATTATTTTCATAGCAACTTTTTTACCTATATACCTCTCAGCATTTCAAAACTTTAGTAGAATTTTTTTTTATGTAATTTCCTTTCAAGATGTGTTTAGGCAGTATTCAGAAATTTTAAGAACTTAACATTTTGGGTTACACCCAAATCCTATATTAGGTTCTGTCTTGACTTCCTTATTGTGTGTGAAGACAACTTGCAAATTCCTGTACCAATTACTCTAACTAAACATACTGATCCATACACCATTAGAAACCATGTTATGAATTCATTGCATTATGAGGACAAGATTTTAGCAACCACTGTCTGGCTTGTTGGTGGTGCCATTGGATGTAATTTAATGCTGATACGTAATATATTTCATCCAAAATCATGCACATACTTTAACTGCCTACCTTGAATAGGAAATTGTGAGAACAGATTTTCTGTCATTTTCTCCAGATCTCATCCACACAAAATAGATCTGAGACCAGCTTTATAACTTTGGACCAGCTGGGAAAGGCATTGTTGAAGAAATGGGGAAATATTCCCAAGATTTCCATCCAACAGAACAAGAAGTAACACTGAAAAGCTGTGTCATCTGCTTAGTGTGGCTATTGGAGTGATTATAAATATTATGAACACTAAATTTTCCAATTGAACAAATCAACTTTTTGTGCATATAGATAGAAAATTAGGGAATGTTATATTTCAAAACTTTTGAGCTACTTCTTGGGATCACATATTCATTATACAACTTTGATGCACTTTTGGAATTTAATTGGATATTTAGAACAACTGATGCATGTTCCTAAGCATTTAGAAATATCTGTAAAATTAATAAAACAGTAGTATAATTTCAAGTGTTCATAGCGTACTTTGATAAAATGTACAAAAATATATAGAACATTTTACCCTTTGAAAGACATTTGGGCATGTATTTACAACCTCTTTTATTGAGAAAACATTTTAATATTTTAGTTTACATTTTCACTTTAATCGAAGTTAGTTTTTACGAAACTGAAAAACTTTAATAAATTTCCCCACAAAAATAGTTCACATCTTATTATAATTTATAAACTTCACTAAATTTTCTAGATAGTTTTAAATGTAACACACTATTTATTGTGTCTTGAAATGTAATGCACAGGAGTGTTTTACAAAATACTAAAATTCATTACCAGTTTTTTCTATATTTTATCATTTAAAATATTACTTTTTGGAGTAAATAACAGGTTTGTGGCGAAATAGTTTTGTAAAGTAAGCTTTATTTATTGAAATATTTCTGAAACTTTGAAGCTAATTCTTTTGACATTTTTTCAATCCACTTGTATTATTAATAAAAAAATCAGAAATGAATAACACTAGTGTTTTTCACAAAAACTTACTTATTCTACTTAATGCTTTTACACTCTTATGTTTTAATGTTTTTTCTGTCAACTTTCAAGTTGCAGTTTTTGCTTTCAAAGTAATGAATTCTTTGTTTAAACCAAAAGATACTAGTTATGAATACTAAAGTTTATTGTGATTGATCAATAAGCAGGAAACCATATGACTATCAGTCAGGTGGAATAAGAAGACATTTTAATACTCTGAGAACAAAGTAAAATGTGTTCTAAAGAAGAAACTTGTGTACTCTTCTGCTTAATATGACAATATCAGGATCAATTAGTGATAATACTAATGAATAAAATTTCAGTGTGAACATTAATAAAATGTTGCAGTCATACTAAACAAAACTGAGTGACAGAAAAAATTCAAACATGGGTTTATTTGTAAAATATTCTGAAGTATATTGATTGCCATTACCAGGCCCACCACCGACAGGGAGAAGGGGTAACTGCCCAGGAAAATGAAACCTGATTATGCCATAAAGCACATTTTTATGCTTATACAGTGAGCTAAAAATGGCTGCTGCTATGATTTTGCCTTGTTTATGAGCTTTTTGCTTAAAAATGTTAAAAAAAAAAGAGAGAAAGAAGTCCCAGCGAGGGTGTTTGTCCCATGCCTGTACTGGCTCTCGATGCTCTTGCCCTTTACCATTTCCATCTAAATTAAATAGTTCATTATGGATCCATATGCTCAAAGCATTACTGGAACTTGGTTACTTTTACTAAAACACCTAGAGCAACCTTTAAACTTTATTTATATCTAAATTAGTTAAGGAATTCTTATCAATTTCAGAAATAAACTGTTAAGAAGGTTAAACAAGTGGTAAGCAGATTATTTCAGAAAACTCTGTGTTAATTAAGAATGACAATTACCAATACAAACCTACTTTATGAGCAAAATATGTCTACTATAATCTTTACAACCTTATATTAAAACTATTTCAAAAAAATCTTTGTAAGCTATGAATATCAATCTGAAATTTTGAAAATCTGGGAAAAGTTATCAATGTGCATTTTTACAAACACATTTAAATAAAGTAATATTGATATAAAGCCTTAAAAACCAGTGCAGTTTGATGAACTTATATGAAAAGTGTGATATTTTATCAAATAAAAAAGATGTATCAGTAAGTAGTGGCTTTAGGAGCAAAAAAAAAGACACAGTGAATGATAATAGACTAAAGAAATTTAGAATATAACCAAATAAAAAAATATTAAGCAACAACCTTAAAAACTGTGTGAAAAAAAAAAAAAGAGTTCATTTTATCCATTATATTATGAACCTCCATAAAAATGATTATTAGCAACTTTACAAAACTTCCCATAAAGAATGTCTCTCTACAGCTTATAAACATATAACGAAAAAAAAATTTTGATTTATAACTTTGGAACAGTATATAGTCATTTTGATGTATCACTAACCATGTTTCTGTATTGTGCTGTATGGCATACATAGTGTGACCAGATTTCCAAACTGAAAAACCAGGACAGCCCAGCCCTTTCAAGATAGTCATTAAAAATTGGAAGTGATTTAACTTTTATTTAATTCACTTTAAATTTATTGAACTGCTTCACAATATTTCTAAATATATTAACATTGGCATAGTTTTTGAAATTTTTCTGGTGAAAGATACAAAACAAATGAGCAAAATTCATTTTAAAATAGGCTACTTCATACCTGAATTTATCCATAAAATTTTAAAACTTTTCGGATATATTTTTGTGAATAATAAATGGCTCATAGAAGTTCTGTTCTTTTTATTATGTATTCATAAAATTCAATACATGACTGTGTAGTGTTTTGATGATGAGCACTGCCTTAAATGTCTCTACATTCAGACCTGGATTTCTCATCACACACAGAACTTTTGAGAGAGTACGTATTACAACAATGAACAAGTCAAGTAGGCCTATTACATTCGTGATTCTATGTGAGTGATAGTTTGATGTCTTTATCATAAAATTGGGATGTTTTGTGCATCCCAAGAACCCGTCTCAGGACACTGAGACAAACTACCAAAAATGGCAACTGTCCCAGGATGTCTGGTTACCCTGATGTCTGTTTGTATGTGTGCATTATGTCATATAATCTATAACATCTACTGACCTTCTTTCTTTATAACCCCACCTATGTAGTTGCTATGGTTATGCATCCCATGGGAATCCTCAAGCTTTCTATTGGTTATATATGTTTAGAAAACTACGTGCCTTTGTTATGTAACTACCATGTATTGAGCAGGATAACATACTTTTACAGAAGTCTTCAGATCAATTCTGGGGCTTCTCTGACATTCACTGCTTTACTTCTGAAGTTGTATATTGCTTTAACTATGATAAACTGAGAAAAAAAGGATAACTATACTCTCACTTTTACAAAAGGTTTTTTTACCCTATCATTTGCAGAAAATCAAAGCAGTAAATGTCAGAGAAGCTCTAAGATTTATCTCAAATTATTTTTGAATTCTGGATGCCTGTAAAGTGTATATTTCATGAATGTCACAGAAAGCAGCAGGCCAAAAAATGTCCTGCAGGCAGATTTTGAATGTTACTAAAAGTTGGATATGCCATCATAAAACAAAGGATTCTAACATAATATCATAAATCATTTGTTTCTAGTGGCATTGAAACTATATAACAAAAACCTCAACAGTGTAATAAAGAATGTTGCAATAATGAAGGATTTAAAGAACTGATCCTGTCTGTCCAACTAATTCAAATAACTATTCTGTTTTATAATTTGGCATAAAATGCAACAATAATGATTGTGTACTAATAACTGATCTATCTTTTGATATGATTAGGTGTGTTTTATTATATTTTTCTTGACACAAATTCTGACTTTGTGATTTTTTTTGTTAGCACAATCATTCAGTTTCTATTAAGGGTTGTATTATAAATAAGAATTGTGTCAGTTCACAAGAGACAACAGCACTTCCTAAGATTTGTCATCATTTTTAACACTAATGTTGACAGATAGAATATATCATGACAGTCTACTTTCATAGTTGTTTTTGTTAATTCCCAGATGGTCTTTCTAATCTAACAGCAATCCCAGTAAAGAAAGAAATAATGTTTTAACAGAAAAACTGAATGTTTATTACCAAGAAACACAACAATATCCTCTTCCGTCATGGAGAGTTAATGCTCCAAAGGCAATGTAAAATATCTAACAAAATAAAAACTATGTTCAATATGCATCATTTTTCGTTAACTTGCACAGTCCTTTATGGTAGGTAAATTAAAATGAGCTTAAGACAATATATTGTGCTTAAAACTTGAAAATATTAGTTCCAACCACATTTGTTTATCAAATTTATTACTCTGAGAATAAAACTGTGTTATTACTGAATAAGTACAAAATGCCACAGAATGTTATCTGATTATAAGAAAAAGAAAAAATGTTTTATAATGAAATTCTAGAGTTAATACACTGACCACAAAAGGACCCAATTTTCACATTTATTTTAATGCATTTTTTAAACATTACAAGTTTCATTTTATTATTTTGTGTGTATTCATATTTATTATTACACTTAAAATTTATCCAAAGCACAATTACTTCAAAATATTATTCAGTTTAGTCCCATTGACTTGTAACAGAAACTGCAAACTACATTACTGTAGTTAAAAAACAAGTTTTTCAAATCCTATTACGTATTAGCCATGATTTTGCTCTCTCTGACACTTATGTTTCAAGTAATATATTCTATTCCACTATGCCTAAAAAAAAATATCAAATTGGTGAAGAATTTTAAATGGCTTTAACACCCAGTCTGCAAGTCAATGAGACTAAGTTCAGGTGATTGGGTGGGCTACAGAGGGATGTCATCATTTCCAGTATTAAGTTAGAACCAAAACAAATGTTCTCCAATAAAGAGTTAAACCTATTAATCTAAAAAACAACAACACTTTACTGCCAAAAGAAGTCACCTCCAAATAATGTTTGTCCATAAAGATGTGGGGTTTAGAGAGTTGATAGACTGTTCCTCTTATATAAAATAGTAGAAGTGTTCATGTTCAGGCAAGTACCATACAGAGGCAAATAAGCTTCATTGAGCCTTTCTTGGTCATCTTTATCGACAGAACTGATGAAAACCATGAAGAGAATAGCTTTATAGAACAGAGGAACAAGATATTGTATTGCACAACATGTGCAGTCACTACCATGTTTCTTGTTCAGTTTTGGATTGAGATATGGGTTTTACTCCTTCATAGCCCAGAAACTAGCGTGAATTTGGTCATGCTGGTGGGCACTTCGGATTCCATATATTGCAAAGTGTTCAAATCTCTATTAAGAATTGAAAAAGAAAATATTACCAAAAAGCTTTGTTTGGGAATCAACCTTGATTCCTGGACAGGATGTTAAACATCAGTGAAATTACTATTTATAGTATTAGAACAAAAGTACTTTTATGAAAGCACCTCAATAGAATTGCATTTAATAATGATCCCAAAGACAGAAATGAAAAACATACAAATGACACACATAGTTGCAAACTCATTGTGGCATTCTCAGGTTCACTGATTTATCCTTTAGATAGTAACTGATTATAACAAGCCAAAAGAGATGATTGCTCATAACACTGAACAATGCTTCTAGCTAGATAACAGACTATTGAAATCTCTTGTTATTGTGACCTCTGTTCTAGAATGACAGAGTATGACATTATATACACATACACAATACTGTCATCTCTCTCAGAGTGCAGGGGCTACTTATATTATTGGTCATTACAAGTGAAAGTACAGAGTTTAACCTCTAGGCATTTCTAAACTTAACACAGTGATGTTACCTGAGGAAGCAGATACAAGAACCATAAACCAATATCATTTGTCGAAAAATACCTAAGTATAACACATACCTTAACTATGTGTTACTAGTACACATAAAGTCAGTACTATGCAAAAGAGGGTTTCTTAAATGTGAAAGTCTATAAGCTCTCTAAGAGTGTATACCTGAAAATTTCTGTAAAGTGCTTACCTTTCCAAACAACACATCATAATAATGAAATTTAACAGGCATAAGCACTATAGAAGTGTGTATTAATTGTTACAATTAACCACCTCTATTCTTCTAGAAAGTGTGTTTACTTTAACCACCTTCATAGAAACTGTAATACAACAGTAAAATCCATTGAGATTTCAATACTTTTTGCAACTAATAATCAAATGTTTTGCTATTCATTGTTATTTTCATGGTTAAACAATCATTAATTATTGAATGTCATAACCTTCCTTGTCTTGATTACTATCAAAATTTGACAATTTTTGTAACATATAAGTGTTTATTGTTGAAAGATATTTCTTAGAAAAACTTCCATCTAACGTAACACAACATTTACTGAGACAACAAGGGGTCTGTTGGTCCACCTCAAGGCTGTCCCATTCAGATTTAGAAAACAACAAATCAAATCCAGCACTGCTTATTTAAATATTTACCAGGCCTTCTCTTAAACTCCTTTTCATTTATTACATTCACCACATTTGAAAACAACCCATTCTAAAGGAAACTACTTTGTTAAAAAAGTAAAACTTTCTAATATGAAGATGAGCCCTACTCTGCCAAAGTCCATACTTGATCCCCCTTATCCTATCATTCTCCCCATTAAATATGAAAAAGAAATATATGATGCATTGATACTAACAATTTCCTTTAATAATCTTTAACACCTCAATCAGATCCCCTTTATGTTTTTGTTTTTTTCCCCAAGAGAAAATTATTTCAGAGATCTTAAACAGTTCTTATATGACAACCTTTCTACCCCAGGTATCATCATAGTAGCATTCTTTTGAACCCTTTCCAACAATTCACTGTCCTTAAGGTAAAGAGCCCAATACTAAACACGATACTCCAAATAAGGCCTAACCAGTGACCTATAAAATGAAACAATAAACCTTTTTTAGACTTATATTCAATATTTCTATACAATAACCAAAAAGTTTATTTTCCATACCACTACAGCAGCACACTGGTAGGATGGCTTAAGACAGTGGTTCTTTACTGCCAGTTTGTGGACAAGTGACAGACCACCAGTTGAAAACAAATGCATGTTTTAAAATACAGCTACTTTAATATATTGTTTTACAATGTAACTTAAAAACACTTTAAAAATTAATATTGTATAAAGAAGTACCTGAACTTTTGGGTGAGAACTAGCTTGTTCTTAGTTGGAAAAAGGTTGGGACCCAATGGCTTAAGAGACTCATCAACCAAAACACCAAGATTCTTTTCTTTCGTAACATTGTTAAGGTGATTCCCATCAAAGTTATAACACATATATATTAACTTGAATTTATTAAAATTAGAAGCTATATGCCAGTTATTTGGTCAATTCATCAAATGATTTAAATCCTTTTATAAAACAACCATATCTTCCTCATAGCCAACAAAACACAAGTCCTGTGTGGGATTACTTTGAAGCAGTTGGTGATTTTAAAGTGAAGTGCAACTTGTATAGCATATTAATTTCACATGGTGACAAGGAACAAGCGCTTCTACTACTCCGCACAATCACCAGAAAGATGAGCACTCTCAAAGTTACTGGACTTTACAACAAACTTCAAAGTGTACAGGATAATGAAGGTAAGAATGTGGTCTCAAGTTGTGGAGTGTTTAACAAACAAACAAAATATTCAGGAGTGTCACTAAGTAAAGAAACTATGGGAAATGAATGTTCATTGCACTGATGATTTACACTATATAAATTGATTGTATTGCATAATCAACTGTATATAGCTGTTACTGATGAGGGTTTGTTTGTTTTATGAAGAGTGCACAATCACAATATGAATTTCCAAGTAAACCTTCTTTATCTAAAAACACTGTCCCAGATGCATACTGCAATTGCTGCTCAAATTTCAAATGTCATTGCCATTTTTCTAACATCAAATATCTGGTGATGCATAACAGCACCAAACAACAGTTTTTCACTTTCACACGATACTGGGTCAGAGAATATGAATTTATAAAATGCTACTTTTATTTTCCTAAAAATCATACTGGTAATGCAATAGGGAAAATGTTGGAAGATCTGTTTAATATACTGGAATTCAAAAAGAAATAAAATTCACCTCCTAATAAGAGACAATAAAGAAAATGTTACGAAAGATTTAAATAATACTGGATGGTCAAGTGAATCACGTTCTCTCCACACATTACACCTTGTGGTCATAGATGCTCTAACATGTTCAAAATTAATAACTATACAGAATGATATAAGCATACCTCAAAAGAAATTTGTACCAGACGTACAGACAAGATGGAATTCAGTGAACTATCTCATTGAAAAGACATTGGAACAAAAGAAAACAATCTCCTTCTGTGTTGCTGAATGTCATCACCAATGTCAACAATAATCAGTGATCCCTATCAGAGATACGTTTAACATTGCTACTACTATATGAAGAAATTTCTAAAACCATTAGTTACACAAATATAATAATTTCAGAAGCTATTTCAATTGAAACTAATTATCGTCATTTGTAAAAGTATAATATACATCACTTTGAACCAAGTACAATGAAGGCAATCTTGATATAAAGGCTTAAAATTAGATTCGTTGAAATAAAAGCAATTACAATTTCATCTTAGCTACATTTTTAAATTTTCACTAGCACCTTTAAGAGTAATTAAAACAGTGGCACAGACTTTAATGGAGAAAGCACTGATACTTCCAACTTAAGAATGAAATGTGGTTGGAGACAGAGATAGTGGAGCTGACAGAGATCTTTCCTCACCATTAGCAACACCACAACCTACTCAAAGTTTATGCCAAGAGAGATATAAGTAATTCTGATGTCATTATAGTGAAAGATCTGTAGCACCCAGTGGTATTAATTATACTTGTCAAAAAAAAAAGAAGTTGCTGTTATCATTAAAATGAATTTCTAAATAGCTCTATCTTTTAAAGAGACAATCTAAGCTCTACATAGTGTAAACTGAACAAGATACATTTACAATATGATTTAAGTACTGTGTATAGTGAGTGCCTATTTTCAGAAGATGGCAACATTTATATTGCAAAGAGAAACCAGTTGCTATCACAAAATGCAGAGTATTTACTGTTCTTACATGTCAACAAACTAATTTTTCTGACAACTGACTGATACATGTCATTGTATATTAATAAGAGAACTGTCATATATATAAAAAAATTTAATGAATAAGTTTCTTCAAAAAAATCCAGGATTGTTAATGAGTGATTATTTAGTAAAAAGAATGACTAAATTAGACTGGTAAAGATTATTACTTCAAAATCTGTACTATTCATTTAATGTATTAAAATTATTCCAATTTATTTTAAGTTTAGTAGGGCTTCTTTGTTTGACATAAGAAAGCAGGATCATATCTTTTGGAAAACATCAAAATTAAATGTTTATACACATAAACATAAAATTTGTATGTCACTGATAACGGAGTTTCTTTAATAACTTTTGTAATTTCCAATAAAAAAATCAAACTTAATAGTGGTATTGAGCATGCTGCATCAATAAACTTATTAACTAACTGACCTTCTGTCAATTAGTTTATTTTTAGCTTCCTAGTAGCCATAATAGTTTTCTGGTTATAATGTTCCCAATAACGTTATGAAAATTTCAATTACTAAGCTGCCAAGTAGGTGCTAATAAATGTCCAAACCAAATGTCTTAACTGTCTGGACACTGGATATTAAATTGATATATATATGTTATGCCCTTATCTACAAATACCTTTATAAATATAGGTTACTTGTAGCAAGTAAAAGGCATTTAAAACACCATACACAGAACTGATTTTGATTATCAAATATTTTGCACATAAAACATGTAAACTATTTGTTTTATACATATTAAACCTTAATGGTCAAAAACTATACCAAATGCAGTATAAAGAAAACTAACACTTATGTGAAATCTTAAGTTTTAACACTTGAGGTTTTTCACAAATAAACCAGATGATTAAAACATTCTTTATTCACTGAGCTTAGCACAAATCTTTCTTGAAAGGTTAACAGACCATATTTCATCATACATTTATTGATACATAATGTTTTCGGTGAAATAAGTTATGATATTCATCAAGCTGCATACCAAAGTGGTGTTATTTCTTTTAACAATTTTATCATGGTTTTAGTGAAGCTCAAAAAGTCTGTTATGAAATTTAATAGAGAAAGTTGGGCAAAAAGATTTTACATTAAAGCACAATCTGGAAATCAAGCTATTACTATGAATTCAAAATTATCAGTAACCACTCACAAGATTATTACTATAGCAATCAAAACTTCATCCAATAGCTAATTCTACATGTAGAGATTTCCCCAATCTCTTGTCCGCTGCATGAGAAGATTTTTAAGATTTGCTTCAGCTTCTTCATTTGGTATAACGAAAGATTTGAGTGGATGTTGCTCTAATAAAGGGATAAAAGCTTGAACATGAGAAGGATCAGAATCTAACATATCAGTATAACAAACAAACAAGACACCAGGAATTTCTCTAACTTCACATTCTGATAAAACAGCAGCTGCTAATCCAGAAATTGTGTTGGGTTGTTCTAAATATGGCTGATTAAGTCTACCTACAGTGTACGTTGAAGAATTCAATGCTCGTAGTATGATATTTTGATGTTCATCAAAGTTCTTCTGAGTCTTGTATTCACACATGTGTAGAGACGTTAATATGACAACTACTGGCTTAGTGAAGCATGTTCTATTTACACATGAAAATATTTTCTCTCCCAGAGCGGTAGACTGTTCTGGAAGGAGTTTCTCAGGGACAATACAGCATAACACTTTATCCTGTAAGTGAGTATGATAAAAATGTCCCAAAGTAATGGATTGCTTTCTAAATTTTAACCCAGATAGCTGATCATCAGTATCATCCTTGTCTGATCCACGTACCTGAACTGATGCAACAGGCAATAATGGTCGTGACAGAATATAAGCTTCTACAAATGTAGATGCTGATGGTCCTACAGCAACAACAAGCAACTGACAGTCAAAATTCGGCTGGTCATATGTGGCTTCTTCTGCGGTCTCTCTGACAATAAAAACTTCTCGGACTGGCACATCTTCGTCTTCATCGTCAACTACTGCTCGGGAAAAAATTGGTAAAACTTCTCCGAAAAAGGTTGCCATCATGAGATTAATCTATACTTTCTGAACTGGATCGAAAAAAAGCTCAACAATAATATATTCAAATACAACAGTTACAACTACACTTCTAAACACAGGTAATACACCAAATAAAAAATAATGACACAAGTAGTGGACACAGTTAAAACTAAATCCTTTTCTTCCGGCATAGGTAAAAGAAAACCTGATATATCCTACTATATACAGTGTACTTATATTACATATAATATTTCTGAAATCTTTATATATTTATATATACATACATACATAGATATATATATACACACATATATATTTAATTCACGAATAAGTAAATTAAACTTTTTAATGGTTACCACAATTATAATTTGTTAAATTATCCTTTTTTGCTCACTCTTCTTGTTAACAAGTTTTTTTATATAGTTCTTTTAAAATAAGAATGTTGACTAGCAGCTAAAACTAATGACATACATTGGGTTTAATTAGTAAAATATAATTATATTTTCTAATACCATAACACACACACAAATCCGTTACAGTTCAACAAAATGCTAAACTATAAAACGTTAGTGGTAAAATACATTAAAGATAAGAAACTCATCATTTGTCGTATCTTTACAATGCTTATTTGTGAATGACACAGTAAAATCCTAACTTTATATCAAGAATACATTTTCATGGGGCTTAAGTTGTTGGACTTATCAAATCACGATTTTTAATGTCATACTTATAAATGTATTTTTTAAGTTAGTAATGTGAATAGTATTGTTACGCCTCCAATCGTTAGTTGATTTTCCGTAACTTCCTTCCGACGAAACTTTAGCGACACAAGTCCTTACTTAATAAAACTGGTTTATTATTTCCGAATACAACTTTACGATACACTTATTTTCAACAGTCGCGCTATAACAAACGCTATATCTCACGTGGCCAACAATATTTTGTCCGCATACATTCAATTACTCATTACACTGTTGTCCCGTCACGTTGTGAGCGTCTTATATATATACCAGACTAACATATATCTAATAAATGCTAGGGCATTCTTGAAGGAACAGGATATTTCTAGAAATACGTGGCGTGATACTAGTCACGTGACCTCGCTGACGCAACAGTATGTTAAATGAATTGTTTTTTTTTACAGTTTATATTATTCGGTAGAAGTGTAATGAATGAAATAAAAATGAATTTCATGCTTTCATAACTTGTACAGAGGTCTGGTGGTTACGGCGTTCAACTCGCAATTTGCGGGTCATGGGTTTGAATCCCATCACTGAACATGCTCGCCCTTTCAGCTGTTATAACGTCATTGTTAATTCCACTATTCGATTAGAGTAGTGGGTGTTATTGACTAGCTGCCTCCCCTCTAGCCTATCACTTATAAATTAGGAATGGCTAGTGCAGGTAGACCTCAAGTAGCTTTGAACGAAATTCAAGAAACAAAAACTAGCATAGAGCGTATATTTAATCAGGTATATAAACGTAATTTTATTCTAATTTCCATCCACTTTCTGCATGCAGTTAATCATATCCTCGTTGACAGAATGTCTCGAGGTCGTATACACTAATCCTTTTACAAAGGTAAATGCTACTTGCTAAATCCTTTGCTTTTAGGTCTATATTACTGAAAGGTATCGTGAGTTTTTTACTCTTTTATTTAAACAGTAAATATTTCGAGATTTTTGTATTTTCTCCTAGTTCATTTGGATGTGGCAAGTCTTTCAAGTAAACAAATCCCAACTTTGCTTCTCTCTGGAATTAACCAAGATTTTTGCAGGGACGATACCTCCGCTGTCCAGGAATAGAAAGCTGTATTTTCTGTTGGCTAAGTATCCCAGGGTTTTTTACCATTTCAGAACTAGAGTGGACTGAGGTTGTGAGATAATAACTTCTATATTTTTGTTAGGGTTTTGTTTATCGTTCATTTCTTTTATTTAGCTTATCTGTGAATTTTTAGTTACATTGAAACGCTAATTCACCTTCTAACCGATCATGTTTTGAATAAATGTTTATGTAATATGAAACTGACACCACTTTCCCTAGCAATGTTTGTTTGTATTAAGCACAAAGCTACCTGTGCTCTGCCCACCACAGATATCGAAACCCAATTTCTAGTATTGTAAGTCCGCAAACATACCACTGGGGGGGGGGGGGCTCGTGGTAGTGACATTCAGGTATTATTAGTGTAGCAAAAGATTTCGTAAATTTATGCTCACATGGGATGTACTCTCGTGACCTAAGCAGTGAATATATATATATATATATATATATACCATGTTACAAGCTGAGTCACGAGATAGTTAGTTAATTATTGTTATTTGTTAATCAATATTGTCATTAATATAGAAAGGTGATTTCAGATTTTTTTTTCTTCTTCTGGTTCTTTTCCCAGATTCCATCATTTGAAATAATTAATATTTTATTGCTCAATAATATTAATATCAAGTCCTGGCCAGGCACGTGTTATTAACAGTATTTTGTTAAGTGCTAAATTTTTATTCCAAATGTTGTTACAATTTAATACTCTTTTTTTTGTTGAACCCTGGTTATAGCAGCATGTTATTTTAGGCTGTTACAAAGTCATATGCAGAATAATGTTTTGTGTGCAAAACTGGCTTAAGTTGTCATTGGGTTTTATATTAAAACTTCACCGAGATTTTTCTGCAATTTAACTTTTAGCAGACTTAGTTTCTGATAAGATTTTCTTTATTAGGATTCTTCTGCTCAGATTTAGATTTTGCTGAGCTTTAGTTTAACTTTTAGTAAATTTTGTATATTTATTTTATTTCTCCAACTCTCATCTTAATTTTGGGTTTATTTTATAACTTTGTTCCAGTTTAACTTAAAGTGTACGAATTTCACTGGACTGGTGAAAGAGTTCACAGAGGTTACAATTAATTTCTTTCTCTTGACATTCCAACACATCTACCACAAACCCACTTGCTCATTTTATCTTGTGATAGTAACTGTGATTATGTTTTTGTACTGTAAATATAGATTATTATGTGCACCTTCCATGATTTGATTATTTCTTTCTTATGAACTCACCTTGAGATTCTAGAGATAAAGGAAAAAAATCTCTGTAACTTGGTAGCTTTTGATCCTTCAGTTAGCAGCCCTAACTGACTACTCTGAGTAAAATATACAAACCTTAAGCTAGCATTTGTGTATGGATTTCTTGGAAATTAACCTATTTATAAAGAACCTGTACGACGTCAGCCTTCTGTCCCACAAGCAACAGCATGCACAGTCCAAGCTCACCAGGCTCGCTGAGGAGGCAGGAAAGACCGGCCTGAAGATCAACACCAGAAAGACAGAGGTGATGCGGCTCAACAACAAACAAGAGCACCCACTGCAGCTGCAGGGAAAAGACATCAAGGAAACAGAGTGCTTTGTTTACCTTGGAAGCATAGTAAGCAGAGACGGCGGTGCAGACGAGGACGTTAGGAGCCGGATCAACAAAGCAAGGCTCGCATTCAACACCCTGCGACTCATCTGGAACTCCAAAGCCTTATCCCTGTGCAGCAAGATCCGCATCTTCAATACAAATGTAAAAGCAGTCCTCTTGTATGGGTCCGAGACATGGCGAGTTACAAACACCATCACCAACAAGATACAGACGTTCATCAACAAGTGCCTGCGACACATCCTAAACATCAGGTGGCCAGAGAAGATCTCAAACACTATGGAAAAGGACCAACCAGAACCCAGTCAGCCAAGACATCAGGAAAAGAAAATGGGGCTGGATCGGACACAAACTGCGAAAACCAGTTGACAACGTTACAAGGCAGGCCTTGGACTGGAACCCACAAGGGAAAAGAAAAGCTGGGAGGCCAAAACAGACGTGGAGGAGATTGGTCAGGAGTGAAGTGAAGGCCGCCGGAATGGCATGGACCCAGCTGAGGAGAGCAGCCCAGAACAGAGTCCATTGGCGAGGTGTTGTTGCGGCCCTATGCTCCACTGGGAGTCTACAGGATTAAGTCAAGTAAGTCATAAAGAACCTGTACAACTGGCTTGGCTTAATACTAAGTGTTGAGCTTTTGTTAAGTATGTAACTCGTGTTCTTGCCAGATATCTTATTTTCTTTGTTTCATTATAGTACATCAGTCAGGTATGACCATAGTTTGGCCTGTTACAGAAGAGGAAAGACATTTTTTCAGTGATCTTTCAGAATAATCAACAATCTTTTTAAGAACTCCTACAAGTTGTGATCATACTTCACTTGTTGCTAGGTGAGACATACAGATGACAACCCCCAATCCTGACCTGTATCAGCACAAAATCAACAATCACACCACTGTCACCCCTGGACCAACTCATCATTTTAATGAATTTTTACAGCAACCTCTACAATTCTAATGATCATTATCACTCATATTGCAGCTCTGAGATCCTATCCCCATCAAGCTCACCAGTAAGATCCTTGTAAAAATCATCTAGCTCTGACATGAAGAGGCACAAGGAAGCCATAAATCTAGTACAATCCAGTCCTGACAATACTCTTAGAACCTCATATCTAAAGACTACTACCACCAAAAGCCAGTCTACTATCACCTTGGCAGCAATGACCAACCACTCAAGCCCCACCAAGCATAATAGTGGAAGGTATCCCAATCTCCTACAAACAGCCCGACATTACAGAAGAAATAGAATGTTTATTCTCATCAATGACATTCACAAATGACTGCCATCTTATCAAAGGTGGATTTTATTTCAAGTGCAGCTATCCTGTGGGTATGAGAATCTTTTCAAGCCTTTTACTTCCACTACTTAGAGTTTCCCTCCTTGATCCAAAGCAAGCAGACCCATTCATGAACAACAGAATTTTACCGTGGTTCGTGCATCACGCTGTTGAAGTCACAAAATTGATTGCTATGCCGATACTGCAGTGTTTCAATTTATAGAAGTTTGATCAAACATGAGCCATGTGCACTGCAAAGCCCAAATGCACAAGATTTGGAGATCAGCAGAACTAAATGAATGCCCAAGAACAAAAAGAGGATACCTGTTGCACCAACTACAGCAGACTTCATGTAGCTTCCTATGGTGAAGGTCCCAGATGATTGCACCAAGTAGCCACACCTGATAGAAGCCCAAAACCAACCATGCCTTCAACTGTTTCAGGACCACAACATCACTTCACAAGATATTGAAAAATGAACCACTATAGCTAGAAAATCAACACATTCAATGCAGCAGAGACTACCCAAGCTTCAGCTTAAGCTAGATCTCCACAGATATAGAAAACCAAG